GTCAGTGGCTCCAGGGCTAAAATATAAAGGAGTGGAGATACTGGGCAACCTTGCCGTGTTCCGTTAGATATGTTAAAAGGAGATGACGCGAATCCACTATTTGTTACTCTAGCAGAGGGTTTGGAGTATAGTGCCCTAATCAAGTTTAAGAATTGATGTGGGAAGTAAAATTTTTGCAACGCTTCTCTTAGGAAGCTCTAGTGCAGCCTGTCAAACGCTTTCTCTGCGTCCAGCGACAGAAATACACTGGGCTCCCTCTGTTTTTTGTTTGGAGTATATTAGATTGTATAGCTTTCTTGTACCATCTGCCCCTTGCCTACCTCTTAAAAAGCCTACCTGGTCATGCTTGATTATTGTGGGTATCATATCTGTTACTCGTGTGGCATATAATTTAGTCAGGATTTTGGTATCTGTATTTAGTACAGAGATGGGCCGTAGATGTTGTGGTTTATTTGGTGGTTTGCCTGGTTTCGGCAGAGTAACTATATGTGCCATCAGCATAGCGCCGGTGGATATTATATGATTAAATGTGTCAACAAGGTGTGGTCCTATAGTGTGGCTAAATGTTTTATAATAAGAATTTGTTAAGCAATCTGGACTCAGCGATTTGCCGTGAGGTAGTGATTTTATTACTCGTAGAATTGTGGGTAGGGTTATGGGTTCGCTAAGTACCTTTTTTTGGTCTGATTAAGGTTATCTTGGATAGGAAGCTTTGGATTTCGGTTAATGCTAGTTGGTGTGTCTGTGGATCATTGTGAATATTATATAGGGAATAATATTGCGAGGATTTCCTGTTGTATATTTCCCCCCCTGCATGTCTATGCAGGTAGGGGATCTTTGATTGTGTCTGATTTTGACGTAGTAGAGATGCTAAGGCTTTTCCGGCTTTATTGCCTTGTGTATAATTGTGCATTTTTAGTTTCTGGAGTGTGCATGCTGTATTGTCTAAGAGTATCTCATTAATTTGCTTAGTAACTTTAGCTATTTCGCTTTCTTGTTCTGGGTTTTATATATTGGGTGCTTGCTTTTTTGATATAGGATGCTCTGCTAATGAGAATTCCCCTGACCACTGCTTTATGTGCTTGCCTTGTAGTTGTGGGTGTCAGTTCAGGAAGTGTATTGTTGCTAAAGTATTCAATAATGTCTTGGTTTAACTGTGTGCGGAATTCATCATTGTGAATTAGGGTGTCATTTAACCTCCATGGGGCTTTCCCCCTGTGGTCGAAGTTGGCCTGTAGTGTTGCAAACATTGGAGTGTGATAAGACCACACTATATCGCCAATTACAGTGGTTGTTACTCTCTGTAAAATGTTGCTGGAGACTAGAATCATATCGATTCTGGAATAGGACTTATGGACTTGTGAGAAATAGGTGTACCCTTTTTTGTTTGGGTGTTGTACCCTCCACATATCATATAGATTGTGTTCTGATATTAGCTAAGTGAGTATTTTGCATTGATGTGTTATCGATTTGGTCCTGGGTGCGCCAGGAGTGAGTGATGTGTCCGCCACTGGGTGCATAACATGATTTACATCTCCACATAGTAGCATTGATGTTTTTTGTGTGGGTGGTATTTTATTGAGGACTTTAAGTAGAAAGTTCCTCTGGTTCATGTTTGGGCCGTAAATCCCCACTAATGTGTATTTGACCATATTGATAATGCAGTAAATTATGAGGTAGCATCCTTGTTGATCTTTTTGAACTTGCAGTAATTCAAAAGTGAGAGATTTGTGGAAGAGGAAAGACACACCCCTAGATTTGGAAGAGTGGGTCACATGGTACTGGATAGGGTAGTCTTTGGAGCCAAGTTCTGGGATTTTACTATGTTTAAAGTGTGTCTCCTGTAGGCACATTACATTAATGTGTTCTCGTTTCATGGCCTCCAGGAGTACCCTCCTTATGTTATGTGTTTGTATTTTCATACTAAGTTGTTAATTGTAAAAAAGCGCTTGTGGTGTTCCTGAGTTGTCTACAAGCATTTTCTGTGTATCTCTGAGATATCATTTTCTCTAGGTTTTCAGCCCATGAGTGTGTCTGAGTTGAGATTCTCTTGTTTTTGTTTCGCAATACTTTGGGGTTGGGAGCGATAGTTTTATTGGGAAATCGGGAAATGAGTGGGGACAGCAGGTGACCGGGAGGGGCATAACTTGGGTATTTACAACTTACCCCTCGCAGGGTTATGGCGCCTAGTAGCGGAGCCATGGGGGGGTAGATATCATGATATCTGTATGGGTGGCTAACGGCCTTAGTGATATATTTATGTGGGATAGGACCTGCATGTTGTGCTAGTTCCGTGTGTAACAACCCATGCATGACATAGTTTGATCCCTGAGCGACATCCTCTCCCATCAATCACCTGGTAAGCATATTGTATTCTAGGGCATATGGTTTCTGTTTTTCTAATAAATGATGATTGTATAAAAGTATAGTTACAGCATTTAACATTCTAACGAACATTTATATTTCTCTGACTGAAATACTTTGTCATATAGTCCCAAGGCATTGTCGACATATATATAGATCTATACTTATGTTCATATGTATGTATATTATTATTATTATTTTTTATATTTTAACAATATACAGTAGCACACATGTATACTCTTCAATACAGTCGTTTTAAACACCTACTGTCACTTGCTTATGAGTGGGATTTATGATAGTTATTAGCTGATTAGCCTGTTAGCTGGGGCTGCCCATCTGCCTATGCCATTACACAGGATATCTAATAGCTCCTGCTAACCCCTGTAGTGACCAATTTATTTGCTCTTGTTTCTTTGGCGTTCCGTATGGTGATATTCTCACTCATACTGATTTGTGGGTAAGGTGCTATTTAACAGCAACTTGCTGTATAATACCCCTGCCTTAGATTTTGTGTATCATCTCCCCGTGTCTCTCTGAGCAACCCCTGTTTCCCAGTAGTTTTATGCTTAAGTATTATATGTTTAGGTTACCCTATAGGTGTGCTAAAAGAGGATTGCTGTATAAATGTCCAATTGTGTGCTAGTTTGATACCTGATCTTTCATTCATCTAGCAGCCTAAGACCTGAGATTTTCGGGTATGCAATCTTCATCTTTTTGTTCTGATTCATGCCGATAATGCTTTTGGGAGTGTAACGATTGTCTCTTTATCAATTGATGAGGTGAAATTTGAATTGTCTTGAATTCATACATCCTTGAAGTCCCGGGTTCCATTTGTATGTATATGCCGTTCTTCACTGTCCTGGTCTTGGTAGTGGTGATTGATTTTCAAAAGGATATCCCCAGAGGTGAGAGGCATTCCGTCTGCCTATGTGGAACCTGTCGCCTGCATGTCGGGCTGTCACCATTGCGGTTTTAGTGACCGTCCCATCGTGCAGGTGTTGTGCTCCATTCAGCCTGCAGCCGACGGGAAGGTAGTGTTGCTTTCTCCGCCGTATGTTCTAGGATACCCCATGTTTGAAGTATTTTTGTTCCTTCTTCTGGGAAGGAAATTGTATGCAATGTACCTTCTCGTGAGATGATCATTTTGGTGGGGAATCCCCATCTGAATCGCATCCCATTTGCCCTTAATCTATCAGCAATATGTGAGAAATGTAATGTGGTGGCAGATAAGTCGGCAAACAGTGTTACTGTGGGGTAATCTTGATGCTGCGCCAATTTATTTCTGCTCGTACGTGAGATCATGTCTTTAATATGGAAGTAATGTACCTTTGTGAGTACATCTCGAGGGATGGAGTCTGGTAGGTGTCACAGTTTTGGGATTCTATGTGCCTGGTCCAGGAGTAGCATTTCTTCCGGTATGTCCGATGCGTAGGCCCTCAGAAGGCCCCTAACATACATTTGCAGCTCTTCTGGCAGAATCGATTCGGGGATTCCCCGCAGCCACAGATTGTTCCTCCTGGACCGATCCTCGAGGTCCGCTAGTTTTATTTCCGTTGTTATTAACTTTTGTTTGAGTTGTTTCATGTGGGTTGCTAAATCATTGTGCGCTGTGGCGAAGTCATCCATTTTGGATTGCACTTGTGACGTTCTTTTACTGATTTCTTGTACGTCTCTCCTCAGAGAATTCATGGAGTGCTGCCAGGACATGATGAGTTTTTGAGAGAGGTTATCAAACGCCATCTGTAATTGGCTCTTAGTGAGCTGATCTGCCGACGTGGATTGTTCCATATCTTGCTGTGAGTTTTGATGTTCAAGGCTGGCGTCGCCATCTTGTGTAGGCCGCTGATACTCCGCAGACTCTGTTTGTTGTTTATTGCCGAAAAAGTTTAGTTTTTAGTTTTTAGCTGAGCCTTTCTTCTGTTTGTGTTGTGCCATCTTTCGTTTTGGCGGTTTACAGGTCCTATGCGTCCGGATTGATGTGGATTATAGGCCTTGGTAGCCGGAGCTCAGGTTTAAGTGACCATTAAGCTCGGCAGTTAGCCACGCCCCTCCACCTGTAATTTCTGATGTATAACACCATTACCCCATATGGCCGACCCTAATGGTTCACCTTCCCATTCTTCTGGTAGGATTGTCCTTCCAGCCCCCAAGCGTCCATAGTGGTTCTGATCCTGTTTGGCTCCCTTCCCCGTGTGCCCCTGTCAATTTTGTCACAGACTGGATGGCCGGCAATGGCTTGCGACTTGTGTTGAGAACTGACTGTGCCAGAATTCCCCAAGGCTTGATAATGCTGGGAATTGGGGCTCCCCCACCACCAGTTAGATATCTAAATACAAAAGCATTCTTCCTTTCCTTTAGACCCCCATGAAAATATACACCCACAATGTTAGGGGACTGAACTCCCTAGTCAAGAGACACGTTCTCAACAGAGAAGTTAGAACCCACAGAGCTGACGTTTTATGTCTCCAGGAGACTGTGACGAAAGCACCTTCATCACTGGGATTTGGAGAGGCCTGTTGCCAGCCTCTTGCCCTGTGACTATGACCCCTGGGATGTATTACCCTTTAAAAGCTTTATTTGGGCATATAGGATTTTAAAACACTTTTTCTGCCCCTTTAAAGCCATGGGAAAATGTGCCTCTTCAACTTATCCTTTTTCCTGTCCTATTGTTTCTCAGGCAGGGCATTGTCCCAGGGACACTGTCAGACCAGTTTAAACTGGCTGCTTTGTCCCTCCTCAATCTCCCATCAGCCCTTGCTATTTTCTGACCCCACCCTTCCTTGTACTTTAGCCACTTTTAACATTGGACATATTGAGCGCTCAGATCCAAGCTTTCTGGGGATATGTTGGACATATAGGTTAAACATTGTATTAGAAGAGTTATGTATTTTTATGTTTTTTTTTGTAACAGTTTCTGACTTAGAGATATTTCCTGTACCTGGAGATAATTAAGTTACCACAGGCACTTAAGCTAATTATATCCAGGATAGAGGAGAAGATAGACCGGCCGCACAGCCTAAATCTGTGCAACTGTTTTGGGCATGAAAGCTATGCTTGCGGTCTGTCAAATGTGACTTCCATAAAACCTTTGAACCTCTGCTCTGATCTTTGGATATGTTGTTCACCCAGACCTAGGGCCGGTGCAAGGATTTTTGCCGCCCTAGGCAAAAGTAAAGTTTGCCGCCCCCCCCCATGTGACATCACAATGCTCCACCCATATGATCTGCCATGTTAACTAATGCCAGTGCTGCAGTGCCGCCGTGTTTACATTATAAGGCATGCAGGGACAGGCTATAGACACCAGAACAACTACATTAAGCTGCAGTGGTTCTGGGGACTATAGTGTTTCTTTAATGTGAGGTAAATTAGAGATTAGTGCCACAAATAATATGCTAGATTGCCTACTTACAACGAGATGAGGAGGATGATGGGCTCTAGCTGCAGTCTGGCTCCACTGGTGTGGTGTAGAACAGGCTCTCAGGAGGCTGTTTGTAACTGTGGTCACAAAAATCAATGTTCTGGGAGAACGGGAAGCAGCTCCATTTTTGGGGGGCCCTTTACACAGCTCAAGGTCTGGGTCCCAGGGTCCACCTTCATGTTCCACCAATGAGTTTGTTCACAGGGGGTGGAGTGTGTAGGGGATGTCCTGATATGTGTGTAAGGAATGCATTGTGTGAATCTGTGTTTGTATGTGTAAGGGCTGCAAGGTGTGTTTCTGTGTATGTACAGGATGCAGTGTGTGCGTGTGTAAGGGGTGCATTGAGTGTGTGTAAGGGGTGCATTGAGTGTGTGTAAGGAATGCATTGTGTGTTTCTGTGTGTGTAAGGGATGCATTGTGTGTAAGGGTTGCATTGTTTGTGTGTGTGTGTGTGTGTGTGTGTGTATGTGTGTGTAATGCATTGTCTGTTTTTCTGTGTGCAAGGGGTGCATTGCATGTGTGTGTGATGGATGTCACTCTCTCCCCCCTCCCTTGTCACTCTCTTCTCCCCCTCTCCCTTGCCACTCTCTTCTCCCCTCCCCCTTCCCACTCTCATTGCCCCTCCCTCCCCTGTCACTCTCACCCCGTCAATTTCTTCTCCCCCCCACCAATTTCTTCGTCTCTCCCTGTCAATTTCTTCTTCTCCCCCCTACCAATTTCTTTCTCCCTCCCTGCCAATTTCTTATTCTCCCCTGCCACTTCTCTTCTCCCTCCCCACGCAATTTCTTCTTACCCTCCCTCCCCATTTCTTCTTACCCCCTCCCTCCCAATTTCTTCTTACCCCCTCCCTCCCAATTTCTTTCTCCTCCCCCCCACCTTTGTTGTAGCGTGGCCGAGCCCTGCAGCATGATGGTCCGACGGGTACAGGGAGCATCTGTCTCCTGTACCCGGCCGGACTAACAGGAAGTGCACACTCAGTGTGCACTTCCTGTTAGTCCGGCCGGGTACAGGAGACAGCTGCTCTCTGTACCCGTCGGACCATCATGCTGCAGGGCACGGCCACACTACAACTGAGGGAGTGACAGGAGGGAGCGCTCAGCGTTTCCCTCCTGTCAGCCCCTCTCCTCAGGCTGCGCCCGGGTGGTGCGATCCGCCCTCATGGACGCACCGCCCGGGCAAAGCTGCAGCTGCCTGAGGCTCTCTACAGAGCGCTCGGGTGGCTGCAGCATGAGGGGGCCGGCGCTCCTGGTGGCGCCCCCTCCCAAGGGGCGCCCTAGGCGGCTGCCTAGTCCACCTAACAGGTAGCGCCGGCCCTGCCCAGACCAGTTCTATCCAGTGATGTATGAATTCATGGGGATGTGTTATGTTTTGGGGTGTTTTCTAGACTTTGGGGAAAATGTGTGGTTTTTCTGCCTGTGGATAATTAGATTATTGTATTAGTTGCTTTAATTATATCCCAGGCAGAGGGGAGGACTTGTGTGCTGTATGTGGGAGTGTCGGACATTGTTATATTGTTCTGATTGGTTTGTGTCCTTTGTGTCCTGTGCTCCACAAGGTCCACGTGGGTGGTAATCTTGTGGGGAAAATGTTAATAAAAGAAATTACTTTGTGCTCATTAAACAGACTTGTTCTACCCTTCATGAAGTTTTGGCTCATGTTTGGGGGATTGGAGAACTACCTACACTCAGGTGATTGCTATAATCACTATACTCCCCAGAGTAAGCTCTTGTAAGAGCTTGTTCCTGTTCCTGTTACTGCTCTCTGGATTTAGGAGAGGTCTGCCTACTGGAAGCTGGTCCCTGGTCTTGGGCCCAGAGTAGGAGGAAGACGGTGAGATCCCAACCAAGCTCTGGCAGTTCGTGGGGTCTGCGGGGGTTATGGTGTCTAGTGGCGTGCTTGGAGCCCTCGGGAAGCACTAGGAGCATCCATCAACGGAAGGTACCCAGTTGGGGTGCCAGGCGTTCTGTTACAGAGACTCATTTCAAAATTGACTCTCACCCCTCAATCCTCACAAAAAGCTATCCACACCAATACCATGCCACATCCCCTATTAAAACTAGAGGAACCTCGATCTTGATTGGCACTCAAGTGTCATTTACACTCCATTCCCAGCATTTGGACACAGAGGGAAGATATGCTATAGTCATAGGCACTTTCAATAATATCATTTACACCATAGCCAACATTTACGCCCACAACACAAACCAGAGAAACTTCTTACATAAAATACTCTGATTCTTATCCCAGACTCAACAGGGAATCATGGTACTATGTGGGGATTTAAATCACATCATGGACCTGACCCTGGATAGTGGATACTACCATAGCACGTGACAGCACGAGAATTAGCCCCCTCAGGCATAAATGTATAGCATTACAAAAATTGTTGCATCTCCATCACTTTTATGATGCTTGGAGAGTTATGCATAGGGGAGAGAGGACACGCATTCTACTCCCCTGCACACAACTCCTATTGAAGAATTGATGGGTTTATGATTACGGGGGGACATTAGACCAGATTGAGCATTGCGACATTGGGCGGATTGATTGGTCCGATCATGCACCTGCGACATTGACCTTAAAGGACCTCTATGATACCTCCCACTGCAGCCCCTGGAGGCTAAATGACTCCCTACTATATGATCAAACCTTCTCCCGAGACATTCAATTAGCACTAATGCATTTTTTTGAGGAAAATACTACCCTAGGTATGGCACCGGCCACTATCTGGCAAACACACAAAGCAGTAGCCCGCAGACTCCTGATCCACAGTGCATCCTACCTTAAAAAATGCTCTAAAACCCAACTGAAAGAGTGGCAAAAATCTCTATATGACCTGACGAGACAAAACCAAATCTCACCGACACCCTCCCTGCGTGACCAAATCTCCCATATAACAAGGCGGCTTAATCTATTGGCCTTAGAATCAATGGGACGCAATTTTGAAATACTCAAAGCAACACATTACGCGCAAGGCAACAGAGCGAGCAACATGCTGGCATCCAAGCTGCACGCCAACGAAGTCAACCAAAATCATCTCCCCGTGACATATAAGCAATGAGTTCGCAAAATACTACACCACACTGTACAACCTCCATATGGACACAACCATGCACAACCCATCAGGAGTAGACAGCTATATATCTTGCTGCCATCCCTCTGCCGCCAATCTCAGCATTGCAAGCTCAGGACCTCTCTTTGCCAATAACAGAGGCAGAGGTCCATGGTGCCAATTCTTCCCTACCCAAAAACAAAGCACCCGGCCCAGATGGTTTCGCAAACTGCTACTACAAAAATGTTTGTGAGATTCTAACCCCCCATCTCACACACATGTTTAACATAGCTGTCAATACGGGCCACCTGCCAGCCATACACTCTCTTAGTGCACATAGTAACGCTTCCTAAGCCAGGAAAACAACCTACCCACCCACAACATTTCTGTCCGATCTCCCTTCTGAACACAGATGTCAAACTGTTTGCAAAAATCTTTGCCACTAGATTCTGTAAGTGCCTGCCTCACATCATACACATGGACTAGGTTGGGTTTATTAAAGGTAGGCGGGGGGGGGAGACAATACCCGCAAAGTCCTATATATCCTATATGGCCTTCGACGCTCCACCCAGGGGAGCCTGATACTCTCCTTTGATGCCGAAAAGGCTTTTGACCGCCTGCATTGGGGTTTCCTGGAGGATTTACTGATATAATTTGGGATCCCACAAAGTTTCCTCTCCACTGTTAGAGCACTATACTACACACCCTACGCGTAGGTCCTAAAGGCAGGCTTTCTTTTTGACCCATTCCAGATAACTAATGGCTCTTGTCAAGGGTATCCATTATCACCACTTCTATTTGTCATGGTCTTGGAACTACTGGCAGCCCTAATCAGATCGCACAATTCCATCCACGGCATTCAAATTGGGGATGGGGAATACACCACTAACCTCTTTGCGGATGATATTCTTATCACACTGTCAAAGCCTCACATTTCCCTACCAAATTTACTATAGAACAATATGGCAAATACTCTTACTACAAACTTAACTTAACAAAGACTCAGGCCATGTCCATAGGAATCCAAGCAGCGCAAATGGACAAAATACGTATCTCCTTTCCACTAGACTGGAGGGATTACATTCCTGGGAGTCAAGCTAACTAAAAATCTATCACACTTACACAACACAGCAATGGGAAGGGAGGATGGCATCGTGAAACCTGATACTGATACCAAAGTAGCAATACCTCCTAAGATCACTACCGATCCCCCTAAATAAAACATATCTAGACAACTGCAGAGGATCATTGTTCGATTCAGTTAGAGCAATAGCCGCGCCAGAGTGTCGACACATATTCTGACTAAAAGTGTAGCGGACGCGGGTATGGGGTTACCCAACATTCAACAATACTATAGGGCTGCTATGATAT